CCATCACTGAGAAGTTCAGCCTGTTCCTCCTCCAATTTAAATTGTCCTAAGCACTCACATTTTTGTTATGTCTGCTCAAACCTTAGGCTGTACAGAATTTGCCACTTGTCAAATAATATCAGTAATATTAATCATTCAAAATTTAATATTTCCAGATTCAGTATGAAACAAACTGAGCCTTAATTCCTCCTATTATGAAAAGCTTGTTCTTAAGAGTTTTTATTGCTTAAAATAGATAAAAATATTTAGCCTAAAAAGAGCAAAGCATGTTTCCAAAAATTGCACAAGCCATACAGGACAGCAAACCCTTACACCTATAACATAATATTATTTGCAACTTTTAGCCACTAAATTTGCAACATATCCTAGAGCTAAATCATTCTTCACTATCTCTTTCGACTTGGAATTTAAAATAAATAAAAATAAAAAGGAAGAGATGAAATAGCTTTCCGCACTTTTATGCAAAGGCAGCAGGCCAATGTATTGCCAATAAAGTAAGCACTACATTTGTACTAGCTTAAAACACAGCAGAATGTGCCAAGTTTCCTTATTTGGGAAAAAATATACTTCTATGGCTTTCGAGGAATTTGACCAACCATTTTTAGAGTGACAACTATGCATACATATTGCACTTGGTTTCTGAATCATCCTCTTTCAAATAACTTGAAAACAAATAAATTAATAATGCAAGTATTACATAAGAAAAGGATATACAGCATATTATCACTTGGCCCTTTATTGTGTGGTTTCAGCATAAGAAAACGTAATTTGCAAATGTAGTAATGACATAGTTCTTGTTGTTATTGTAATAGTAGTGACAATAACACTGAAAACATCAGATAGATGTAGGCATTAGGATTGTAGTAGCACCAAATTTTCTCCCCCCACTTTTTTTCTCCAGTCTCTGGAGAGTAGTTGCTGAACAATAGAAAGAATCACGTAAAGTTTTCCCTTCCCTAAGTCTATGCCAGAAAGCTCCAATTTTCTTCACAGAGGTGCTCAGGATAAGAATTAGCAGCTCCAACCCTTAACAGAGAGAAATGTGGAGAATAAATTTTCCTTTCGATTTCCCAACCTCCTGCAAATCCAGAATCTAAAACCAACCCACTATAGTCACCTAAGACACCTTATCATGCTGAGTCCTAATCAACAGAAATTATCTCTTCAACTAGAAACTGGTTGGGGAATGTCTTGCTTTATGAAGAACTAAATTTCACAGAACAGGATTTCAGCCATGAAAACTGGTTTTGCGATAAATGATCCACCTCTGACTCACAGGGAATATTCTCTGTTTTGAAATTCAGGCATCTTTCATACCTAGCTGTTGAATTAACTTACAAAAGCTCCTTGGCCCGAGAGCTTCCAGAGAAGGAAGAAAGATAAATCTTTTAGCACAGCATATAGATTCAGGAGTTCTCTCTTCTAGTAGTTTCTTGTCTTGATGATCTGCAACATCGAGAAGGCACAAACAAGCACTGTACTGTAGTCACTTTGTCTTTTTTTCTACACAAGGTGAACGTAATTGCTATCATGCTTTTGTGGTTATGCCCAGCATGCAATTCCTCCTTGGAGAGGAATCTGGCTTTAGGAAGGAGAAACTGCTATTTCAAACCTAGTTCTGAAGTGATGTGTTGCAATCTCTACTCTGCATTTTATTTAGAGGCAGGGCCAGAGCATGGATAGGACCACTAACTTTTGGAGAAAATTGAATTTTCATGTTGAAGATCCCTTTGATACATCCTGGAAGCTGAATATGCAACAACAACAACAAAATACTGCAGAAGCGTGCTCCCCAAAGGCTGATGGGAACATGATATACCCAGGCAAAAGAAATTCTAGTTAAGAAGAGGCTTATACACAAGGATATTCAGGAAGAGGGAAGAAGCTCCGCAGGTACCGTAGCTGGATATAATCTCATAAATCCCTGGATCTCTCATCAGTTTATTCTTCCAAAGTACTGCAACATGTCCAGCCTTGCTGGACAGTCTCCCTAAAGCAATGCTCAAAAGTAGTTTTAAGGGCACTCTGTTAATACAGGTAGTCCTCAACTTACAACAGTTCATTTAATTACTGTTCGAAGTTACAACGGTACTGAAAAAAGTAACATATGACTGTTTTTCACATTTATGACTGTTGCAGCATCCCCATGGTCACATGATCAAAATTCAGCCACTTGGCAACTGGCTCATATTTATGACGATTGCAGTGTACCAGACCCATGGGATCCTCTTTTGCCAAGCAAAGCTTGTTCTGACAAGCAAAGTGAAGGGAGAAGCCAAAATCACTTTAACAACCAGGTTATCAACTCATCAACTGCAATGATTCACTTAACAACTGAGGCAAGGAAGTTCATAAAATGGGGCAAAACTCACTTAATAAATGTCTCATTTAAGCAACAGAAATGTTGGGCTCAATTGTGGTCATAAGCCGAGGACTACATGCATGGAGCAATCGGACCATATTTTTCCACACTCTGCCTCTTGAAGGAAAATCTGTTAAGCCTATGATAACCTCCTTAATACCAACGTTTCTAGATCTGCCATATGATTTTTATGCAATTGCTTGACAAGAGCAAAAGTCTGCTTGGAAGCCTGCCAGGACTGGCCTTGTATGGAGGAGGAGAAAGTGCAGGAAGGAAGAGGAAATGAGAGGTCTTCCCTTTTGTCACTGCATATTACTGCATTATACAGGACTGCTACGTAATAAAGAAGTTAATCCTCCAAAGCTGTTGATATGACACTGTTATAACTAATGCTGCCACGTGCAGAAGTCTCCTTTCTTTGGTTCAAGTTATTTGTGTACAAGACAAACTGCTGGTAGTTTGTATCAGGGGAATTAGCGGAAGACCAGAGAATCTCCAACTGTCTTAGAATAACCTCTATATAGCCATGCATAGTAGTTGTTATCAGAATACTAGACTTTGACCATAAAAATTGTAGAAAGTTCACCATGTGATGTTAAGGAATTCACTTTTTCTCTCCCTAATCTACTTCATTGGCTAGGCATTAGGAAAGAACAGTTACGGCATTTTGGCTTCCCTCCTTCAATGAAAGGAAAAGTAGAAAAGCACTAAAACAGAAAATTAACACATGCAGAATCATCATCCAACTGCACTATTAAAAGCTCCCTTATGCTTGGTTGCACTCTTAAGAATTGCTTAAAAAGTAAAGTCTTGTTCCACTCAAGTTTGATTTGGGATGACTTTAGGAACGTGGACATAAAGTTTTCCTGACAGCAATATGGAAATCACGAGTTATTTACTGTCTTTTTCAGGGATTTTTTTCCAGTCTAGTCTACCACTCTACCTCCAACCCAAGTACTAAAAAGGCTCATCTTGTTTAACTTCTGCATGAACACCCAACCCCAATATGAATGTTGAAGAAAGGTGTGCATTTCAGGATAACTGTATGTTCTATCCTATAACTCAAAAATAAAGAACAGACACATAGGCCCTATATTTGTCTTTATCCCCATTAAAACTATATTGTCCTCTAAAAATATTACCCATAATTAAAACCATTTGTGCTTTTTGATGAACCACTGCAAAGTACAATTACATTGATTATGCATTTTGATAGCTCACAATGACCCCATTTGGTTTGGGCCTTATTGCAACCTTTATACATGAGCTCTAAAAATAGACAAATAGATAAATTCCTAGCCAATAGGACCATGCCAGGAAATGTCATCTATCCTATACGGAGACATCCATCATTGCAGAAGGCTGATATAAATTGCGATCCAGAAACAAGGCTTTTAAAGTCACGCTGGCACTAATAGCCCAGGTTCCCTGCATTTAAGGACAGCAGCAGCAACAGCAGCAAGCAGCTCTTTTAATTTTCCACACCAGAGCATGGTTCTCTTGGTTGGAATGTCTGCATTTGAACCTTCCCACTTTCTAGGGCAGTGTCACTAGTTCTGGTCCCACAGCTTTAAACTCAGCCAACCTTACTCCTGAGTAAGCACACCAACCACCTGACTGCCAGATTGACAACTACTCACCCCCACCCTTATTCTAAAGACATTCCAAAAGGTTGCATTAAAGACCACATGACATCGTTTTATAACATTAAGGGGGGGGGGTGAGAGAAAAGCATTGTTTTTTTTTCTCCTTCGAACTGAAACCAAAAGTTTTGTTAGCTTAGTTTTTGTTGTTGTTGTTGTTGTTTTAAACTTGGCTGCATTTCTCGGAGGCGGGGGGAAAGAGGGGAGTGATAAAACAGTAGCACTTCAAAGGACTTTCAGTGAAACTCGGTCGGGAGGATAGGAAATGCCTAAACCACAGGATATGACAGATGCACTTAATCACCCCGAGGTTCACTACAAGGATGAGGTTCAAGTTTACTCCATGCCCACATTTTGCACAAACATATCGCCAGCGCATTATGGCTGACTGTTATAATATTTTAGGGGAAGAGAGCGAGGGAGGCACGGAAGGTGGTCGAGCGAGGGAGGCAAGGTGCAGCCAAAAAAAAAAAAAGCAATTGCGTCGGAAGCAAGAGAGAAAACGATTCTTTCGACGCCGAACAACAACAACAACAACAACAAAAATACAACTTATATCAAAGGGCAACGAGCAAAAGGCAACGTCCCATTTCAAGGGGGTGGGGTGGGGAAAGCGCTCCACACAAGCGGCTCGCCTCCTTTCCCCACATTCGCCGAAGCTCTCAAAACCGCTCACGGCGTTGCGCAAAGTGCTTTCTCTCGCGCAAAATAAAAATAAAAATAAAAGTTTAACTTGTCCCGCCAGCCTTAGCGAGTCTCCGGCCATTTATCGCTCGACCGAGTCAAAGGAAGGGTCGAATACGCCATCTCTACGCTCGCCTCTCCCACCCCTCAAATCCGACCATAATAAGGGCGCGCGTGCCCGCCATGCCGGGAGACCCGGGGTTCTCTCAGGTCTCCTCATCGCGTCGTTCCCCCCCACCTCCCGCCAAGAGTACCCGGCTAATCTCCACCCCTCTCAAAGCGCGCCCTCCGCTTTCCCCAGCCAGCCTTACCTTCCTATGGGGACACCCAATTGGCGCCCGCCGACCGAGAAGCACCCCCCTCCCCCCGCTGGTGCCCTCAAGTCCTCTCTCTCTCTCTCTCTCTCTCCAGCGAGCTTGCCCAGGTGCGCTTTGGAGAAGCGAGGCTTTTTGCTCGCTGGCTGGCGGGGTCTCTGGCCGCCTCGTTTCCGGTGAATGTCAAAAAGGAGCCAAGCCAGCAACCTCTCGGTGCCGCCGGAGCTGGGAAGAAGAGCACCACCCCGCGCACAGCCCAGCCGGGAACGGAGGAAACAAGTCCCGACCCGCCCACTTGGCCGGCTGTCAGGCTGTTGTGGGATATCCCCGAGGGCGCCCCGGCTCTTTGCCTCAAATGTGTGACTCAGGGCCAATCACAGCAATCAAAACTACATAAAAACAAGCAAAATAGAAGATTTTTTTTAAAAGAAAAAAAATCATCGAACAGTACAATATTTTTTGTTAGTTTAGTTAATAAACTTAACATTTTGACCGGAAAAAAGTTGATGTATTGTGTCATGGTGCTTTTATTTTTTCCTTGCAAGACGCTGTATTTTATTTTATTTTTCCTTGCATGAGGACACTGTATTTTCCATTAGGAAATCTCAATGGTTTCAAACAATATTGCTGCAGACTCACCTAAGCGTAGGCATTTTTAAAATGGATGCTTCTGGATTCAACCTTTCAACATATGAAGGGAAGTTAAGGAAGAGGGATGGGTTGAATTGCCTTGTCCTTTTATTCCTGTTAACTGACTCTTGGAAGTCATGTTCAGATGCAGGAACTCACTGAATGATTTTGGGTCAGTCACTCCCACTCACTCTAGCCTTTCTTCCAGGCCTGCTCTGATAGGAGATAGCAATAACAATAGCGCTTCCCAGTGCTTTACAGCCTTCTCTAAGCGGTTTACAGTGTCAGCATAAGCTCATTTTACTGAGCTGGGAAGGAAGAAATGCTGAGTCAACCTTGAGCTGGTGAGAATTGAACGGCAGGCAGCTGGCAGGCAGCAGAAGTAGCTTGCAGTACTTCATTCTAACCACTGCGCCACCATGCTCATTGATAGGAATGGAGGTTGATGCACCTGGAGAAAAGACAGGTTTTACATCTAACAAATGAATACCATAAGTAACTATTTATCTAATCCTTTTAGAAGCATTAACATTGGCCATTTTTAGTTGGAAGAAAATGCATCCTCAGAAGGAATCAGGAATGCTGTCTAGGTCCAGCCTGGGATACCCAGAGAATTTCCTCTGCAGGCCATCTTCTCTGGATGCCTTCTGCTCCGAGAGGCAAAAAGGCAGCAGCTGCTGCTGCTTCTATCTTCTCCCATACTGTATAATCATTATGTAGGTTGGGGTGTAGCCCACAAAACCTGAATCACAACCTGGCAGAACTTCCCAGAAGTTATAAACAATCTCTTCTTTTTTTTTCCAAATTTAATCCTTACCAAAGTAAACTCATTGTTTTACTGGACGTTCATCCTAAAGATGAGACACTGTGTGCTAATTGATGCATCCTGTCTGTCAGTTGCAAGCTGACCTACCTGAACAGGCATGTCTTGCTTCAGAGGTACACATTCACACATTCAAATTCCTGCAATGCCTTGTATGTGGGTCAATCTCATACTTCTCTAGAAACTGGACCAGTTAATGACAAAAACCTTATTAACTGGGACTGTGTTTTATGAACAGACTTTATTATTGATTCCAAGGCTTTTGCTAGAATGGTGGTTTGATCTTCGGGGTTCTTCATGGCTAGAGCATATAAAGAGTTGAACGCTCAAAATTGTACCTTATTCTCTCTTCATGAGACTCCATGAAAATGTTTGGCATCTACAAACAGATGTATGGTGTGCATTTTAAGACATTTTTAATGTGGAGGAAAATACTTTTAGCTAAGCTTTAATAGATAGTCAAGCAAGTCATATCTGTTTAGTACTTGGAAAGGAGATTACCAGAAATCTCAGGGTTACAGACTAGACTGGAGAATGGCAGAAACATTCCTCTTTAAAACCATTTCAATTTCTCCATATTTGGGGGAATTTCAATTTTTTTTTAACATTGTAGTAAAATTGTTCTTTTGGTTTTTTTAGATTTGGAGAGCAACGGTAGTTATCTTTTCCAGCAAAAATCTCATTCCAATAAATCTCAAGAAACAGGACTACATAACAGAAATACCTTGTTGTTTGCAACTTCTTGGTTTGTCCTTGATGGAGTTGGCCATGCTCTTTTAAAGCAAATTTGTCTAATGCCAGTGCCCTTCAATTATGTGGGGCCCAGTTATCACAGTTCTCAGTCGTGGTCATTTTAGCTGGGGAATTTTTGGAGATGAAGGTCAAACGCAATCAGGTGTGGGATCCTTCTGCGGCTTGAGGGATACCACTGGGGACTCATGCTTGGTTTTTGAGAAGGTAAAAAAACCACATCCTTATGTTGAGAGAACATGGTAAGATAAGTTAGTATAGCATTCAGAGACTTTCCATTATAGATGTATGTCCCCCATCCCCACCCACTGTTGGCCCTTTTCAGTGTACAACATAATTCCGAGTCACCACTTTTACATGCAAATATGACAGTAATTATATATTCATTTTTACATTCAACGTTCTGTCTTGTCCATTTTTAACTTAATTCTGTTATTACTTCTCCATTTCAACTTTTACATAAGAAAAGAAACAAACACATTAATTGTTTTAATTATTCATTCTAAGCATCTTCTCAATTCATTTCAATTTATTTCAAATATATTTCTTAAACATTAACATTTCTTTTAAGCGTGGCCTTTTCTAAAATACTCTTTTCTCATTTTACCTCTCAACTTTTATATAAGAAAAGGAACAGGAAAGTTAATGCTATTCATTAATATTACTCTCATTCTAAACATCGTCTCGATTCATTTCAATTTGTTTCAAATGCATTTCTTAAGTCTTAACGTTTCTTTTAAATGTTGCCTTTTCCAAACTACTCTTTTCTCATTCAAATCACTAATAGTTTCCATATCTTCATACTTATTCCCTTTTAATTCTTTTTTATCTTGTCAAATTTGCAATTCCATTGCATATTCTTTTCATAAAGTCTAGATTAATACAAGTTTTTCACATAAAACAAAACATAAATTTCCCCTCCCCTTTTACTAGTTTGGGGGTGTCACCTCAGTGGTTTAAGTATGCCTTAATTCCCACATCTGTAATTCCCAATTAAACAACTATTTTACTTAGTTATAGTAATAATCAATCCCTAGAAAAATAAACTACTTTACATTGCACTTTTCAGTCAGATTCCGCAATGTATTTTCTCCCTTTACTTCCATAAAATTTTATTTATGGTATCAAAAAAGAAAAAAAGAAAAAAGAAAGAAACAATTAATCCATTTTGCTTGGTCACTGATATTAATCTCATTTTTAAACCTCCTCACAATTCATTTCAATCATTTCAATATGTATAATAAACATTAACCTTTCTTGTAACAATAAAAATAAGAAAATGCATTCATCTTCTAAAAAGATATCAGTGCCCCTCCCTCCTCTCAATAGACTATATTCTATAATTTGTAATTGCAAAGTACATTATTATTACCCCTCATATCAATGTGGAATCCCCTTTCTTAATTCATTAACCATTGTCCCGATGTATTCTACGTAAAGAAAATTTTTCCTTTATTTTACAATTCCCATATTTCTTTCTTTCCTGTTCCTGTTCCTCATTACCTCTCTTCCCTTTTGTTTTTCCAAATCTTTTCTCCATCTGATTTATATCCCTCTGTCTATATATATTTTCCTTCCCCCTTTTACTTTTCTGCTGTTTCTTTCTGTCTTTCCGATTTTTATAAATATTCCCCATTTTAGTTACTTTTTTAAATCTCCCATTTTTAACCCCCCTTCTTTTTCCTCTTCTTTGTGGTGTTCTTTGTGTTGATTGTCTATTTAAGATGGCTTCTTCTTGAACTAACTCCTCCTTCTCTGAGGTTTCTTCTTCGTATTCTTCAATCGCCATTTCCATAGCTTTTAACTCAGAGGCAAGTGATTCACCTCTTGCATGTAGTAGTTCTTTCAAATTTTTAAGTTCCATTTTTAGATCTTATAGTCATTAAAAATCCACCAATCACCAATATTTTTCTTTTTTCTTCTTCAAACTTTCTGGATTAACAACTATTCCTGAATTGGGTTTATAGCAAAATCACCAATCAGTCCAACAATCCATATTTTTTCTTTTGTTCTAATTAAATTTTCACTTTTTAGGGTACTTGTTATATTGTTTCAATATTTCCTTTTCATTGTATCAGATCCAATTCATAGAGAAATAGGAACTTTCCCTTTTTCAGCTTAATTTTTTGTCCACCAGATGGCACTCTCCATTATACAATGTCCTCGCTCTCCCCCCCACGCCCATTTTATTGTTCGGGGCTTCAATTTAAATCTTCAATTTAAATATTTCCGCCTTCTTTTTGAAAACTCCTAAGTCCAGCTTTAAATTGTGCCTGTTTGTTAGCAATGTATTTTAATTCAATTTGTTTGGATATCTTGTTCCGGCTTCTTCCAATCCTGGTTCGAAGCCCTGCTCAGCTGCCAAAGATATTTTCACTTCTTTTCCTTTCTCTTGAAAAATCCGCCGCTTTCTTATTCTTTCATAAAAAAATTTAAAATACCATCCTGGGGTACCTTTAAATTAATTGTTGCTCGGTTCTTATGTTGTCCACCTCTTTCTTCTCTCCTGCACAAATCTTAGTCCAGCTAAGTCGTCCTCTTCAGGGTGGCCATTTTAGACCACCGTTCAGTCGTCTTCAGGGGAAAAAATTTCCTAGCCCAGGGAGGGGGGGATGCGGCTCCCCTCGACCTGGCTGGCGCTTCCCCTTACTCCGCCACCCCTCCAAGGCAGCGTTTCAGCAGTTTCAGCCTCTAATCACAGTGATTGGGGCTCTCCAATGAGAGAGCAGGGACCAAAGCTGCAGACAGTTGCAGTCCCCGGTCCGTCAATGAGAAGGGCTTAACCCGGAAATCACCTACTGCTGGATATTTTTGAATGGTGCTAATTTTAGTTTGTGCTGTAGCCCTTTGACTCACTTGTGCATGTCACATAGTATGCATATTCCTGCAGATGGGAGATGCTATGTGATTATCGATGACTAATTTTATCTCATCCCTCTATCTGAATTATTCAAATTACTTGGAGAGATATCTAAATAGAACATTCTTCTAACTAACTGTCTCTGTTTCAATGTTCCTTTAAAATACAATTGTCTTTCCAACACCTTGTAACTGGACAGAATTCCTGAATCAGATCCACCCAGTAGTATCCTACAAACATCAAACTGTAACATCGTTGTCATCTGCTGCCAACCATGATGATGAAGAAATGGCAACACATATAGGGACATTGCAACACAATCCCCCACCTTTTGGGCCTGTGACCCACTGAAAGATGACATTGTTTATATCACAGACTATGAATCACAGGAATTGAAACCATATCAGGAGACGGTGATACAAGTTCATTGTTTGCGTGTAAGCCTCATGTTGTATCACAACTGGATGATTTTAGAAAAATTAACAAAGCTGGACAGACTCTCATGGCATTCAGACATATATCAAGAATAATTAGTTCACAGGGCACTTTCAGTTTGTTGTGCTCTAAATTATGATACAATAATTAGGAGTAACATTTCTTGACTTATCCTGAGGTTTGTAAACCCTCAGTAACAAAAGGATCGCCAACTCCCAACATCAAGGGCCCCATCGGATATTATGATGCTTGATCCCACTTACAGTATACTCTTGTGTCTCTTTCCTATGGCTGTGTCCTTAATAATTTCTACCATTTGTCAGATGAAAAATTAGCTCAGCAATGTGGATGCTTGAAGGCAAAATCCAGTTTTAATTAGTTTCAGTTGAGATTTGCAGTTTGTTTTGTTTGGATGTCTGAAATCAAATCAGCCAGACTTTGGAATCAATTTGGAGGAAATATTGCTGCACATATGTACAAAAATCATCGCACCTGTTTTGGAGGCAAGCAATGATATAGCAATTTTTAAATGGACTTGCCAATTTGATTGGGGAAACCTGATTCCAGTCTAGATGCAATGGAACTCTCTTCAAATGGAATCTCTGAATTAAATCTTTGCACACACCCCATTCAACAGTAACTTCTAGGAAAATCCAGTGGCCTACAAACAAGGTATTTTGGGCATCACGTGAGGTTCTAAGAGCTTCAGGATCGCCCTTGTGTGTATTTTCCAGGTGACAAAACCTAGAGTTTTCTGTAGAAGCTTTATCTGTTCTACAGGAAGGCCAGTTAGCAGAGAAAGATTATTGCTTGTCCTATCAGTGCTTCTCATTTGTTATCTCATCTGCCAGAGATACAATTAGATTAGGATAATTAAATTAAATCAGGACAATCTAGTGAGATGTCCAAGAAAATAAGTGTACATAATTATCCTTAAGCATGACCCAAAACTTACTTTTATTTTTCCCCCCATCACAATTAGGGGTTTCTAGCCTATCTATATTCCCTTGAGACCTAATGATTCATATTCTTGTTGGAAGGAAAGCTTACTTGCTACTGTATGTTCAGAGTGTGAGAACAATATACTTTTAAGCTTTCGGTGTAAAGACAAGAATAAGTAAGATCAATAATCATCAATATTCACATATATCTGCAGACCTGAACATAAATATTTTAAGATGCCGTATTTAGTTTTTACTGACCAGGTCATATTAAAGTTAAACCATTTTATTGTTTACTATTTCTGCTACAGCATGAAAGTTTGTGTCTACTTTATTCAGATGATACTTACTCCTACAGTCAGTGTTCTCGAACATTTTCCAAATCTTATATGTAAAGCATTCATTATAATTTTTATATTAAATTTTGTAGTGCAATAATCCCTATTTAAATTTCAGCGCACTCTTTCTGTGAAGTAAAGTGGCTTTTAACACTGCTTAATTTTAAATTTATTCTACATGGGTTTTTTTAAAAAACAAAAAATGGCTAGTAATTCTTATGTCTATTTCCTGACCTAGCTCACTTTAATAACGGGTTTCCTGCCTGCTGCAGAAACTAGCAAAAACAGCTTGTTGACTAGCACAAACAGGTCAATTCTATTAGCCAGTGCTCTTTGGGTGTTCACAAAGCTGATAGATAGGACAATGCAGTCAGCTGACAATCTTTTTATGCTTGGCTATTGGGCAAAAAGAGTTCGCAATGTTTAGGTTGAAGTTTCTGTCCTGATTCTAGAGTATTACGAATGCTCAAGAGAGTCAAGATACCCTAGAACGGGGGTCTCAAACTCAATTTACCTGGGGGCCGCTGGAGGCAGAGGCTGGGTGAGGCTGGGCCACATAAGGAATTCCACAAAAAACATTAAAAAAATATCCTCAAATGTTATAATTTCATATCACGGGGCGGGGCACAGGATATCGTCCTGCAGGCTGCAATTAGCCCGTGGGCTGCAAGAATGAGACCTCTGCCCTAGAACAATATTGAGGGATTTGGACTAGTACGAGAAGGGTTTGGGAATGGGAAGGCTGGTTTTAGATAACATTATTAAATGTTAGATTTTAGATCCTGTGTTGGCATAATTAATACCTCATAATTATATACAAAATAATGTATGTATTCAAGTCAACATTGACTTCTGGCAGCTGTGTGGACTAGCAGTTTTCTTAGCAATATTTTATTTTATTTTTTTATTTGATTTGTCATTCGCTTTACAAGATAGCCTGGTTGAAAAGTACAGACCAATCTCACTGTGTTGTGTCACATGCAAAGTCATGGAATCAATCATGAACCAATTCATCACTCTCCACTTAGAGTCAAACTACCTACTCTCCAAAAAACAACTTGGTTTCAGGAAAACATTGTCCTGCAATCTACAGCTCCTACACTGCAAAAAACATATGGACTACTCTACTTGACCAGGGTAAAGCAATAGACATAATTTACATAGACTTCTGCAAAGCCTTTGATTCAGTGGTCCATGACAAACTACTTTTAAAACTAAACTCTTACGGCATTTCCAGATCCCTTCATAAGTGGATTACTGCATTCCTGTCAAACAGGAAACAAATAGTAAAAATAGGGAGCGCTATATCAAACCCTACTCCAGTTAACAGTGGTGTCCCCCAAGGCAGCATTCTAGAACCCACACTCTTTATATTCTATATAAACGATCTTTGTGGTTTGCCATTGCTTTCTTCCTAGGGCTGAGAGACAGCCTAGCAAGGCAAGATTATCAGTAATGTTATTTTAGATAACATTACTAAATGTGGAGATTTTAGATCTTGTGTTGGCATAATTAATACCTCATAATTTTTATATATGTGTGTGTGTCTATATATGTATATCTATCTATCTATCTATCTATCTATCTATCTATCTATCTATCTATCTATATCTATCTATCTATCTATCTATCTATCTATCTATTATCTATCTATCTATCTATCTATCTATCTATCTATCTATCTATCTACACACACACACACACACACACACACACACACAGTGATTTGAGTCAGCATTGACTTCTGGCAGCTACGTGGACTAGCAGTTTTCTTGGGAAGATGTCAGAAGGGGTTTGCCATTGCCGTCTTCCTAGGGCTGAGAGACAGTGATTGGCACAATGTCACCTGGTTGGCCTAAGGCAGGACAAGAACTCATAGTCTCCTGGGTTCTAGCCTGCTTCTTTTAACCATTGCACCAAAGTGGCTCTCAACTGGAGATTTACCGTGTTTCTCCAACAATACGGCCTCCCCCAATAGGAAGTCCCAGCATGCTTTATAGGCATAAAATCAAATTAAGCCCCCCCCCCCCAAATTAAGGCCTATATTAAACATGCGAAATGGGGGGAATGATGGGGGGGACTGGCCGTTAGGAAGTACTTTTGTTGCATACCCAGATATGGTGCTGCCTGCGTTGGCCTCAGTGTTGGTGGGGCACTTCGTATAGGGAGACCTTCT